TATATGTATGATGGACCAGACACATTTAGTTGGTCAAAAACGTCTTACAAAAAGTCTTAATGGCTTTTACAGCGCACCTCTGCAATCCCTTTCCTTTGCTTAAGTTTTTCCTAAAAGCCTCCAATTTGTAATTAAAAAAAAGAAAGAAAGAAAGAAAGAAAAAGAGTTGTCAGGAAATCCCACAGCTACAGAGAAGTGGCACTTTGACACAGTCCCTACTGTGCAGAGAAGTAGTGAACAGTAGCACACAGTCAGTGACCAGGGCAACTTGAGAGGAAATCACTGTAGTGAAATTTTAAATGTGTATTGATAGCTGAGAGCTGGACTTTCTGCTGCTGTAACAAAAAAAGGAAAAAAAAGAAAAAAAGAAAAAACATTTTAAAATATCAAAGCAATGATTGTCACTGAAAGACCTACAAGATGTATCCTAAGTGTACTTGTCTACAAACTAATGCAGTCCAGTCTTTGTACTAGCATTATTATATCACTACAAAAATGCACAAGGCAGGGCACTCTGTGCCTGTGTAATGTTCTACATTTACTCTGATCATTGTATATTGCTGAGGGTAGAACAGAAGCTTAATTGGAAAAGCCAGCGATGTCAGAACAGCTGCTGCTACACACACACACAAAAGCAGAGGTAAATATTCAGCACACTGAAAAACATGGGGGGAAAGAAATGAAAAGAGTTCATTATATAATATAGAACAGAAAAGAACAATTAAGCCTGGCATAACTGCAATAAAAACTGATATAAATAACAAAACTAATACTACTGCATAGAATTCATAAAATGATTTAAAACTGCAACAAATATGAGAAAAGAAGTGAATCAATTATCCAGTTTCAAGTGTTTCACGCTGTTGTTCTAGCTTTGTAATTCTATTTTAGAGAGAGAGTCTACACAGTTACCATCCACAAAGTGAGCTGTATTGACTGCTAAACTGGCGTAATTGAGAACACAATGTGGAGCTATTAAGTGTTATTTAGAGTCCCTCCCTAACGGACAAATGGCCATTCTGATAGAGGTGACTCCACACTGAAGCATATAGTGTCCCTACTACTATCTGATTAGGGCCTCGAATCACTGCCTCGCCCTATATGAATCACCCATTCAGGCCTCGTCTCGAGAATAGTCTGTGCCTCTTTATGTCCGAGCCTTTGCTGCCTCACAGCAACTCTGTTAAGTACGACTGCTGTGTGTGTGTGGGTGAGTGCTGGTCTTTGATCTAAGTAGCTGCTAAATAATTTTATTCTAAAACATGACTGTCTCTTGTGGGTGTGTTCACTTTGTCTGCCAGATTTGCGTTGGTGTATAATGGTGCACAGACAAGTGGCAGGAATTGTAAAGCAGAGGAAGTTATATTTCAGTGCTCCTCCTCTGCTGTTTTTTTTGTCTCTCAAACACTGGGCGATATGCTAGACTGCATTTCCCACCCCCTGTCTGTTTTCAGGATGCTTTGCCTTGCATATAGGCACTACGCTGCCTAAATTTGTCCGACTTTCATTTACTCCTTCTCTCTTCGCTCCTCGAGTGAAATGCAGTCCCCCTTTTTTATTATATAGCCTTATTTAAGCCCCAATGCCACCAGCATCAGTGTTATTCTGGGCTGCCACAGCAACTGCGCCCTCCCCATCAGCAATTTTAGCCCCTCTCCCGACAGCTAGCTCTCCTCCCTCAGTGGGGCCAACAAAGAGAGAACTGGTTTCCCCTGAAGATGCTGACACACCCCCGTCGGTCCGTTCCAACTTGCGGTGCTTCCGTGGCTCTGGGGGTGTGTCCTGTGTGAAGACGGCGCGAATTCGCTCCACGCAGACATTGGCAGCCTCCCTTGTCTCCCTTGAGAGTTGAGATAGGCTGAGAAAGCCATGGGGTAAGTCGTCCACCACACAGAGAGTGACAGGCTGGTTTATGTTCCTCAAACGCTTGGCAAACATTACAGAGTCGTCCAGCATGGGGTCTAGTGCACAAGCCTGAGGGTGGGGAGAGAGAGGAAAAGAAGGGTTAGAAATGGTGAGAAGCAAATCTGGATTCCCTTCAGACATGTCATGAATCTTAATTAGTGGATGAAGAAAACGAAGCCAAGCATCCTCAGTCTCTTTTGTCCCCAATTTCTTTACATTCTCGCTGACTCACTCCAGCGAATTTAAAAAAAACAAAAACAAAACAAAAACCCAACAACAACAAAAATAAGAAAAGAGAAAAGGAAAAACATAACTTTAACCTACCCTCTCTCTCCCATCACACTGTTTCACTTCAATATCTGTAAACCACGTACATCTTTTGGTATGCTGTCAGTTAACACTTTAATGCCTCTGCAGCACCATGTATAGTATATAATGCATCGAAAGGGATTGTGTAATACAATCAAAAGCTCCAATTCCAGCCAGTGATGACACCATTGCCCCCCAAGTCTCAACTTTTAAGTGACCAGTAAGTCTTCAGAAAGTGCTCAGAAGACTAGACAGTAAATATGTACAGTTATGTGACACACAGTTAAACTCCATCTACAGAGGGAGGCTGCGCTTCCACAGAAAACTCCATAGCCACTACCATGGGAGCATGTGCTTTTGCCAGTCTACCTTTATAATGCTCAACTTATACTTGAAGTTGAATCTCACACACCTTCTCACAGAAAACACTTTGCTATAAAATATAGACTACTGTTAGCACACAATGAGTAACGCAAACAATAGATTTGTACAAGTAACCGTTTACGTCCTCTTACCACTATGTGTACAGGTGGCAGCCCTTTCAGCATGCTGTCAGGGGCTAGCAGAGGTGAGCAGAAAGGATCCTTGACCACTGGAGAGCTCTCCACCTTCATCTCTGCTAGTTGCTCTGAGCGCAGTGGCTCAAACCCAAGAGGAAATTCCCTGGGGTGCTCCTGCTGTGAGCCCTCCTCTCCAGCAGGGGGTGGTATGGCCACTGAAGACAGGTCAGTGATCACTGAGGGATCTTCATCTTTGGCAAAGAAGAAACTGACATCTTCTGGCTACATAAAGGATGAGAAAATATTAGGTTATTTCAAAGGATATCTTTATATCAATAAAAAATAAGAAAGGCTAAAACATTTTTACAAGAAAAGTTGGTTTTATAAGTCCTATAAAGTTTATTCTATCCATCTGGATTCAGTTTTCAATGGGAGAACTGCTTCATCACTCGTCCAAATGACTTCAATCTCAGCTGACTGCAGGTTTCCCCAAACTTACTAAACATTAAAGTTGCATAATGACTGAAACTTGCACCACTGCCTAGCGATGAGCCATGAGCCACAGTTATGTAAACACACACGCCACTTTGTCCTTGGAAAAATCTTGGCTCAGTGCCTGACTCTTGGCTGAGCGATTCCCATTTCAGAAGGAAAAGCATATTTAATATCTTACGTCACCTCTGCTTGCTAATTTTGCTTGCGCCAGCCACTAATCCAGTGTGCCTGCGAGAAAATATGAGGATAATCTGCAACACCTTGCCAGTACTCGCACAACCAAAACCTTTTGATATCCTGTCAGCATTTCAAAGCCAAATCTGTTTGTGAGGGATGGGTGACACAATCTCGGATGAGTTCATCAAAGTGACACATGCACATCACTACAGGGTAGACAGCATTGTTTGATCAACGGCCAAAATATTTCAATGCCCCAAAAATGTTCGACCTCTTAAAAAGGCTACAACTGCGTGCCAAATCCTTTTAAAGCAAGCTGAAAGCAGAGATATCCTGATCAAAGACAAGAGGCTAGTGGGATTTCACTTCACTAAAGTGGTGCTACAATCATCATTAAATTACCCATCGTCAAATAACGACAGGTTTAATTCTCACAATGATTCCCACTAACAGCCAGGTGTTATTAAAGAAACAGATCTTGGCCATTTAATACTGTTAGGTTCTTCTGCATAAGAGCATCAGCTGAAAGCAAGCTGTTCAAGCATGACCTACAGCACGCTCAGAGAGCAGCGGTGCACTGCTGGGAATGGGATTGCTGTGGGATCCCAAGTTCTGGCACGTCTGGCTCTTCACTGATAATTTCCTGTTGGGGAACTCCGAAAGATCCGTGGGGACAGGTGGGTCTGTATGAGGAGAAGAGATGTTCGCCTCCGAAATGCTCTTCCTCACTGCATCTAGGAAGCAAGGACAGAAGGAACCATATTGATGAATGCACAACTGAAATTAAGAATGCCAATGAGAAACAAACATATAGTACAATTAAGTTTCAGAAACGACACAGGATTGACAGGTCAGAGCATATTAAGAATGAAGAGGGCATTTAGTTCATTTGGACTAACCACAGTTGAAGGACACATGAAAAATAACACTGGTGACACACAATCACTTTCACTTCATCTACTGTTTCCACTTATCATATGTCCTCTGGTTGACAGCCAATAGTTAAAAGCCTAGAATGCAAATTGAGCTATATCTGGAAGAGATGAGAAGTAGGTGGAGGAAATTCAAAAAGTGCTGTCACACGATGATAGCATCTGCCTGCCCTGAACTGTCAAAACACAGCAGTTAGTAGCTGGTCTCACAAAGCTCTACCGATCTCCTATCTCTTTAATAATGAACCATCTCAGCACCATGATGGCCTTTTACTAATGTACACCCACCAATGATACTCTCATTAGACTGGGCTTGCAGCTGTGGGGGTGTCACCAAGGTAAGGGGCACACCATGAAAATTACAATTCGCCACCAGATTTACGGTGGCTACAATTAACAATTACTGTCAATGCTCTGCTACCCCAAAGATGAGAACTGATATGAATATGGATACAGGAGTACTACACAAATGGTTTGGCTAAAGCAATAATTAGTTAGATGCTGCATAAGAAGTTCTCATGTCACTGACCTCTTTCATGAGAGGTGTAAATGAACTTGGGGAACACTTATATTAATTGGCTCAATGAAAACACAGAATGTGGGAGATATACACCCACACATATCTGAGCAAGGGCGGATGACCAAGACATGGACAGACTGCAACTGCCTATCAAATACATTCAAGCCACACCTAATGTTCCAACCTGACAACTAACAACTATAACAGTTACTTGTATACCTGTGGCTTCTGTTGGTGCCTCTGGTGCTGTGCTGGTGGAGGCTGGAGCTCTGCTAGAATCGAGCAGAGAGTGGATCCAGTTGGAGGCTCCCTGTCGGAAATCTCGCAGCAGAAGTGCAGTGTCTCTCCTCACCAGGCTCAGCGTGCTCACCTTCTCCACCTGCTTCTCGGTCTGTGGCCCACTGCCTGGAGAAGACATAAAAGAAGGAAGTAAATGTACAAAACGGATAAAAGTGTTTGTTATTCTTCAGTAAGCACAAATGAATAACAACAGAGAAGACAGGAAAGCAATAATAAGAGAGGTATAATAGTCCAGTAAACGATGACAGAGTGCGTTCAATATTGCCATACAATTATTTGCAAAGCCAACAATACACAATGTGGACAGCAGGAAGGAACAGAAAAATGATGAGTGTTTTAGTTCAGTTATTGAAAGGAGAGTCAGCATAGCCAATCTCTTTGTCACAAATTGTTAGCCAATTCCTGCAGTCATTCATTGTCCTCAGTTCTCCTGCCTTGTGAAACTAAAATTTATCTCACACACACACACACACACACACACACACACACACACACACACA